TCTGCGTCGATATGTATGCACGCTCATACAAATGCATACATATTTACACAAGTTCGTTGGTAAAGCTATTAGAGCGGCAAGGGAGCAGTGACAATTGGCGATCGTTCGTTGTGTTTTCGGCACAGCTCAGATTTTCTACCAACAACACAACGCTTTTGCCGCGTCGGTCMATCGACACATGACTCTGACAAAAAGTGAGCTTCGCCATTGGTTGTCCGTGTCAACGGAAATTTCGCATGAAACAATATGCATACATAAGTACATATTTACATACAAAGTTGTGTGTTTACAAATCTACAAACATTACATTATGCGTATGGTTCGGGTTGTTTACATGCACACATGATTACATACGTGAATATGTGCGACCGCTTGGTCTTTTAACATGTTATCAAAACTTAAAGGCCTGCGAATAAATATGTAGGTATATAAATATGTACATACGTATATGCATATCTTATCAAACCTACATTAATTAAATAATTAGGTATAAAACAAATGTGATTTCCAAAGATTTAAGGAATTCATCAGGAAATAGTTTAATTTGTACGTACATATGTATGTACATGCTTTTGTGTTTTGATATAAAATATTACATATGTATGTATGTATGTATGTATATAAATTATATGCAGAGTCGTTTGCGCATTGGAAATAGCATAAGTTTTCTCATTTCACACTGAAAATGCTCAATTATGCTATTTTCGTGTCCCCTGATGTTAAATGGTGAACGCGCTAATAATTTTCTGTGGTGAAATGCACTCATCCAAAGCAGTAAATATACCAAAATCGAAATATCCCTAAATTTTTGACATCGTGAACCTTCTCTATAAATATACGTTCTCTGGTCTGTCTGTTTGTCTGTCTTTCATTCGTCTTTGTATCTTCGTTTCGTTGTCATCCCAGTCCGTTCGCTGCTGTCACATCTGTTCCCTACCCAGTGTTGCATTTCTCTTTCAGTCTTAGTGTCCGTTTACACAGTCCTACATTTATACCATTTTTGTTTAGCCAAAAAACAAGACCTTTATTCTTTCCAATCATGACATGTGCACCGTATGTGCAAATTGCACTTAATTTCTCTTTTCCGAACAAAGCCAATACAATATCATTGACGGCCTCATATAGCGTTTCTCCTTTTACATTGCCATGCATGGTTATTAATGTGAGTACTTCCTCAAAACATTCTAATTTTTCGTTGATTGTTTTGACACATATAATGAGCTGGCTTAAATTGTTCATATCTGTAGTTTCATCTAAACTTATTGAATAATTTTTACATTTCATAATTYGGTTTCTAGTGCAAGAATATGTAGATTTACTCGCTAAGTTTCTCTGTGCGACGAGTGATTATCGATAGTTACAAAGGAATATTATCAATAATTTCACTAAGCTCTTTTCCCTTTTCACCGACAAAATTACAAACTTCTTTCCCTAAGGTTTAGAAAAATATGCCATCCTCAAATGGGCGGCACTGTTTTGCTAAATGTAAAGCAACTATATACGACGCCTTATCAACAGCAAGGGGGTCAACATTATCAACAACAACATTATCAACAACCATAGGATCAGAATAAACCATAGGGTCAGCATTATCAATACGGTCAACAGTTTCAATAGGATAGTAATATATTAAAAAATATTTTGCTTTCAATTCAAGAAGAAGATTTCTCCTATCATTGTCTTGAATTGCAAGGTATACATTATGAACAGTAGTGTAATGACGTTCCGCACTACATTTATTGCAACGACTTAATGTTTTGTAACACAATAAGCATTGCGCTTCCCCTTCATCAGTTTCAATAAAAAAATAATTTTCTTGCCATTCGCTTGAAAACATTTTAAAAATTCGAGGTGTTTCTGTCAGTGTATTTAAAAAAATGCGCAATGCGATGTTGCTTGCTCAACAGAAACTAAATGCAGATTCTTTGTGTTGACCTAGCGTACGTGTTCAGCCGCTTTCGCGTGCGTGTGATATTTTTCGCAGTAGCAGAATTATCAGTCAAACGCGCGTGTTTGGATTTTTATTGCGTTGTTATTAAATGAGCGCCACTGGTTTAAAGTCATCTTATTTATGGAGACATGTACAAATACTCAATTTGACTACAAATGTGCGAGTACAAATTCAAAACGATCCATCGCCCGACACATTTTCAAGACAACTGTTGGCAATATTCAAGGGTCAACTCGCTGTTGATCGTGAAACTGGCTTAATCACTTTACCAGATAACTTTTGTAATATTGCACCGGAAGAAGAAGTGTGAAGTGTTTTTCCAAACATTGCAGAAAATTGTCACAATCATAATTGGTTAGCTGGAATGCAGACATTTTAACCCATGTTCCTGGCGAGGTTGTAACATATCAATCAGTTGACTCGGTTACGAATSAAGACGACGCTGTTAATTATCCGACAGAATTTTTGAATTCATGTAGGATTAGAATTCATTTCAAAGTTTATCTTAATTTATAAATAATGGGCAACCACATATCCGAATGTCAAAAAGTGGTTGCCAATTGTGAATTACGTAGAAGTTGTGGGCGGTAAGGCTTAGCGTCCATCATAGCGAACTTTTGTATTCGCTCCTAATTGTAACGCCGCCTGCGTAAGACTCCTCGCTAAAGGCCAGTGTAAATTCAGATAGTATTTTAATAAGCGTGTTCAAAACAATTTTAAATAAATAAGTGGTTTCGGGAAAAGTTTGACTTTTATTATTGAAAATACTATTTTATTAAAATAAACTCTACATTCATTGGATTTACCTGGATTTCSACCTCATCGTTTACAATTGAAAGTGGGTGCTCCCATTATTATGCTTCGAAATATAAATCAACCGCGATTATGCAATGGTACAAGATTAGCGGTTAAAAAAGTATAAACAATTTGATCGAAGCAACAATTTTAAAGGGAAGTTTAAAGGTGCAGATGTATTGATCCCACGAAGTCCAATGACTCCATCAGATTTACTTTTGAATTCAAAAGACTAAAGCTTCCAATACCTCTTGCATTTGCTATTACAATAAATAAAGCGYAAGGGCAATCGTTGGAATTGTGTGGAATTGATTTAGAATATCCTTGCTTTTCACACGGCCAGTTATATGTTTCGTGCTCACGTGTTGGCAATCTTTCAGTTCTCTTTATCTACACAACAACTCATGGCAAAACCAAAAATGTTGTCTACGAAAGAGCTCTAAGATAGTTTAAGTGATACATAGTCTAAGATTGTAAGAAACTATAATTAAAAGCTGAATAATAGGGAAGAAAACCGACTTTATTAAAAACATATTATTATTTATTTTGTTTTGCCG